CGCTCCTCCAGATAATAAAACCGGCCAGTTTGGGAATTTTTATTGAATTTCAGTTATGTGACTCTACGCTTGAATGTCCTTGTACAGCACATTTCCGTGCGAATTTGTCCGAAAAAAACGTTGCCTAAAGGCACAAAATGTGTAATTTTTCAGTTTTCAAAGACTCTCAAGTTATTTACGTTTCCGAACTTTGGTGGCCACTTTCTCGCTAAATTTAGAACTGAAACCATGCGACCTCATCTCCTTCAATAGTAAACATCTCGACTTCTATTTTAGATACATGGGCATTTCTTTTGTTGAAAGTATTGGAAATGAATAGGCCTTTAGATGACACCAATAACTCAACATGACCAAAAATTGACGAGCGTCTGATTCCACCACGTCGTGAATATGATATTCTTATTGTTATTATTCTAGGTGGGCCCCATTTCGATGAAAAAAAAATGATCGGTGAAACATCCACTGAAAGTCATTGGCCTACTATATTTACCCTCAGCAGGAATGAAGAAATAAATCTTGAGAGTTGCAAAAAAATTATAAGGTCTAGATCTAGATCTACATCTATACTCTCAAAACAAGCACGGCGTCACTTTTCGCCCGATTCTGTTAGATCTACCTTTAGTTAGGCCCTTCGTCCAGCAAGTGACGAAAAGGCACAGTGAATGAGGGGACGTGAGACTCCGCAGCCCGCCGGAGCTCTCCGGCTCAGGGTCACGGGGTTAATGAGCCCTGGAGCTGGAGCGACTTTGCTGGTGTCCGTTAAAAAGTTTGCATTTTGGTCTACGTTTGAAACGATATAACGTCTTCCCCAGTCCACACAGCAAATCATTACGCCGATTTTCTAAAAGTTCAGTGTCATGAAATTTATTCTGCGTTTGAAAGGTTAATTTCAGTGTCTTAGTTTTCGTTCTAGACAAGTGTTTGTAGAGTACCCAATCCGTCCTAGTTTTGTTACATACTTATGAATAAAGGATTGTTTATTTAAAAACGGCAAGACAGATCTCTCCAAAATCAGTGTTCCACTGACTACGAATATTATGTCTTTTACCATGAGAAATCTTAAATCTGCGCAAGTAGTAATTGTCAAGTTATAAGAGAAGAAAGATGCACCTCTGCATTTTTTAACTAAAGACACTCAGCGTTAGCGTTTGTTCTACCATTAAACAAGAGAAAGTTACTCTGCGTTTGTTCATGAATCATGCTGTGTCTGTGGCAGCCTGCATACAACCAAAGATAGTACATAACAAGATGGGCCACTCAGCCAAAGAAGTGTCCGCAGGAAGTTCGCTCTTTGCTCCAGATGGCGCTGCAGTCTGTTTTGAAGCTTTCTTTCGTTTTTCCAGAAGAAGAATAGGGATAGCACCTCCTTGCGTGCTCAGATCGACTGCTGTTCATCAGCAGTTCGGGTTCGTTCAGTGTGGAGTTTTAGGTTTTTAAGATTTTAATAACCTCTAGCCTTTCATTCTAAAGTCAAATTAAACGAAGAAAACAATCACCCTTTCCTCTGGAAGAGGTTTTTTTTTGTCAGCGTAACCATTTAAAAAAAGCGTTCTTCCGAAATTC